TTCCTGGGCGTAATCTTCGACAATAAACTTTCTTTCCTACCACACTTGAAAGACCTAAAGACGAGGTGTCAGAGTGCTCTCAACGCCTTAAAAGTATTATCCAATCCTGAATGGGGAGGAGATACTGAAATACTTCTTCAACTTTACCGTTCCCTTGTCCGTTCCAGGCTGGACTATGTCAGTCCTGTTTACGAATCAGCCAGAAAGTCTTACCTCAAAATTTTAGACCCTGTTCAGAAACAAGGCCTTCGCCTTGCCTTAGGCGCTTTCCGTACTTCACTTGTTGAAAGTTTACAGGCAGAAGCGCATGAACCATCTTTAGAACTTAGAAGGAAAAAACTCTCTTTGCAGTACGCTTTGAAATTTAGCTCAGTCCCCTAAAACCCAGCCCACAAATAAGTCTTTGGCCTTCCCGAAGATCTAAAAACTCTATCCTCCTTGGGAAATAAAGTAAGCCCTTTCGGAATAACAATCCAGAATGATCTCAAAGACATTGATTTTTCTGAAGACATAATCGAGCCCTTTACCATGTCCAGCATACCTCTAAGGCATTTAACCAAACCAAACATAGATACAAGTCTTGAAAAACACAACAAAAAGTATACAGACAAAACTACATACTTAAACTCATACAAACAGCTAATAAATAGATACCCTGAAGCAGAGAAACTCTTTATACAGACGGATCCAAAAATGACTCCTCAGTAGGAGCTGCTGCCCTTGCATCGCCACACAGCTTAAGCTTAAAGAAACTCCACCCAGAAGCTTCAGTCTACACTGCTGAGGCTACAGCTCTTGAAATGGCCCTAAATATTATAGATCAATCAACCAAATCTACTTTCCTAGTCCTTTCAGACTCTCTCTCTCTTGTCTGAAATCTTTAGAGCGCTCTGACACCTCCGACAACAGAATTTTTAAACTTATAATTAAACTGCATTTTCTACATCAGTTTGGAAAATCTATTACAATAGCTTGGCTTCCAAGCCATGTAGGCATTGATGGCAACGAAGCCGTTGACCAATTTGCCGAAGAATCTCTAAAACTACCTGAAAACAAAAATAGTAAAATCCCTTTCTCTGACATGAAACCGAAAGTAAAGGAACACATCACATCCTCTTGGTCCCAAATCTGGAATCAACAAATACACAAGAAACTCCTTTACATTCAACCGAAACTTACGCCCAAGAAACCACCATCTCTCCTACGAAGAGAAAAAGTAATTTTTACCAGACTAAAGATAGGACACGCGCACGTCACGCACAAACATTTGCTCGAAGGAGAGGAAGCTCCTTTTTGCGTGGCGTGCAACACAGATTTCACAGTTCGGCACATCCTAACGGAGTGTGTCGAGTTTAATTATGTTCGTGAGAGACATTTTAAATGTAAAGATAGTAAGACCCTTTTTGACATCATAGAGCCAAGAAAAATTTTAAGTTATATAAAAGAAATTGGACTATTTAATAGAATATGAAAATATATAGTTATCGTTATCGGTGTATATATACATACACTGAAATTTGTATTGTATATACAAATGTAAATAAGCCTTTTCCATATTTACAAAAGATTTTTATAAATGTATGTTCTTCTTTTTAGCATAATGGAAATAGTGTGATCGTGTGCGGTTGCGAGCTCCGACAGACTCTTACTATAAACACGTCTGATTTTGTAGCGGTGAAACCTGTTGACGCTTAAATGACCAAAATTGTGTCGATAGTGCCGTAAAACATCTACCCAATCAAATCAAATTAAGTCCGGGGCAAAAATCAGGACTAGTCACTTCTCTGGGCTGCGGGCCTACAAAAGAGCACATCAAACCCAATCTGTCTATCGTGCAGCGAGGATCCCCAAGATTTGGAGCACTAGATGCCGCGCTGCGGCAGTCCGGCGGTGACATCTATTTGGGGAGGGTTCAGGAGGGAGGTTGGACTACCTCACTCGCTATCCAAGAGAGGTGATGGCCCTGGCGAAGAGAACGCTCTTCGGGGCTCCAAACAAATCGAATGGATACCCCCCCCCCCCCAAATACAACACACAACAACTACAACAACAACAGCAATTTTTTGACTATTTCAGAAACACTCTTAAAGAAATGAAATAAACAACTCAAAGTCGTCGCGCTTTTCTTGGGATTACCTGAGTTTGTGGTGTAGCAGTTATGGTCTTTGTTGTCACTGTATTAATCAAACACCAATTCAATAGGATGAGTCGGGCTAATTTTGTCACCATAGAGATTTAACACCCGTTCGATAGGACCGATTAGGCGCTATGATGCTGTACACAGAATACTTGAGTTTGATTCCCTAGTGGGGAGGTCAGGTGGGTTTTTTAAAATCGAGTATCCGTGTCTGTCTTCTGGCTTGTTGGATCCCTCACAGACCTGGTTGAAGCAAACCCACCCCCGTCAATGATCCAAAGTATGTCAATGAGAGCTTTAGTTTCAGCCTGGATCGATCCCGACAAAAAGAGTGGAATCACCCCGCCCCTTTAATGATCTGAATTGTGTGGATGTGGCCGTAAATCACCTAGAGTCGCCCCCGACTTGTCCTCAGATCCTCATGGACAGCGACCGTATCCGGAGAGAAGCAGACGACATCGGCCCCAAGAAAGAGTTACAGTACTGGCTGGGTCAGACGGCCCGCTTCAACTTCTTGCTCCAGCAGATCCGGGAGAAACGAGCACGCATGGTCCTGCACGTGCTCCACATCCGCAAGTCGCATGTTTTCCAACGCTGGCACGAGCTGGATACGCAGGTGAGTCGCTGTGCGCGGTCACCACAACTTGTGGCAGGTTGGAGGGTGTCACTGGAGAGTCCTATTTCTTTTCTCCCCTTTTGTTGTTTTTGTAAGTGCGGCTGGTAGAAGGATGCCTCTAGTAGGTTTTACTTTTTTCACCCTCTAATGAATGAAATAGAGTGTAGAAAAATGCAATGCTTTGGTTACTTAAAATGACGCAAGACCATTTTGAAAGAAGTACTTGAAGGAAGCATGTGGGGCGAGGGAGCCAATGGAAGACAAAGAGTAATATGGATGGACAACATAAAACATGGACTGGCCTGGATATAATATAGTAGAATGTGTAACGGCAGCTTGCTACCGTAAAAGAGTGGAGGGTCATTACACGTCAACCCACTGAGTCAAAGATATCACCTCAATGTATCCAGGTACGGTGTCCAGTTTGTTTATGTCTGTGTTAATGGTAGGAAAGTGCATCTGTTAGGTTCTACTTCTGTTCTTTCCCTCTGTTGTTCCATTCTGTTTTTTCTTTCTCTTTTCCTCTGCTAATAATTATTGTTCTTTCCCTTGGCTAAATGGCCATTGTTGTGCCAAAATGCTTCTCTTTACCAGGTTTGCCAACTGCCCCTTATTTCCCGTGACATTTCCGGAGAGAGCAGTCGAGAATTTGAAAGCCTTATCACATACACACTACACCAAAACCATCCCCACTAAATAAACTCGCACAAAAAAATCAAGGAACAAAAATTCAAAGAAAGATACCTGAAAACCAGTTCAACCTAATTTATTCGTTTTAAATAAAACGATGCTTCTGACTCTTTAGATTAAGTGTGTAAAATTTCAGATTCTAACAAGAACGAAAAATTCAGGTAAAGTGAGTTTAAGTCACACTGGTCGAATTTCAAAAGTCTGAACAGCCATAGTTCTTCATGAACATTGTCAAATGTGGTTGCAGCCACCCTGTTTGACCAAGCACTCGGTACAGCGTCGACGCATGGACAGGACACGCCTTCGGAGAACTTGTTGCGGTAGGTTCTGCCACTCCTGGACGAGGTAGCCCAAGAGTTGTTGAAAGTTTTGTGCAGGAGGGTGGTTGTCCCTTATCCGCCTGTCAATGTGATCCCAAATCTTCTTTATTGGGTTCCAATCCGGACTACACGCTGGCCAGCCCGTGCAGGTGACACCTCACTGCTGTATGAAGTCCCCCGCGATGCGTGCGCGATGTGGCGTGGCGTTGTCGTCCTGCAACACAGCCTGGGATCCAATCTGCTATAGGAGAGGAACAGCAAGGGGACGCAGGATTTCGTCTCTGTACCTTGCCGAGGTAAAATTGCCCTGTATATGGTACAAGGAGGTCCTGTGGTTAGGTGAGAAGCCTCCACACACTAGAACGGACCCTCCTGCTTGGTGCAGTCAGGGTGGAATCGCTCTCCTCGGCGCCTCTCAACGTGGACTCGCCTGTCTGAATGCAGCAGGTTGAATCTGAATTGGTCCGAGAAGACTACTTGGTCCCACTGACGTCGTGTCCACTGTGAATGGCGAGCAGACCACGCCCCGCGAGCTGCTTTGTTGCGGCGTTGACAGGGACACAAGAAGCGAACCTGGCCCAACGGAGACGTTTCCTCACCGTCTCCTCGCTCACGTGGACATTGGCTGTCACCCGTAGTTGACCCCTGATGCGGTTTGCAGTGGTGGTTCGTGACGTCACGGCGTGTCTGACGATGAACCGGTCGAACCTGTCGTTGGTCAAACGGGCCTGTCGGGACCCTTCCGGTCTCTCGCTATTGTTCTTGCAGCCTCCATATGACTGATGGGGACACCCAAGTCGACGTGCAAAGACTCGGAGCGTGGAGCCATCTTGGAGCCAGGTAAGGGCTCGTCCTCTGTCGACATCGGGCAGCGAGTGTCGTTGAACCGTCGTGTTGCAAGTGAGCGATATTCATAGCAAAGACATCTGTTTAGCCCGTGCCAAGCTCTGTTTTAGCCACCAGTCCCCATGCCAATGTTGCTGAGGCAGAGAAATTTAGCTCATTTTTCATGCTTTTCGGTTGTGTTTTAGTATACCCTGAGCTGTCGCTGTGAAGCTCGTGCTGGCAAATTAACTGTACAAGCAAACTGTGCCTTGTTGTCGATGCGTGTGCCAAGTCTGGTTGAGTGAGGTTAACAGGTTTGTGAGATATTTAAATTTAAATTTGACAGGTGGAAACACAAGTTGTTCCTTGACTTTTTGTGCGAGTTTAGTATTGTTCGTTGTACGTAGTCTTGAGCGTCCTTGATCGGATTTTGAAAAAGCTGGCAAGCATGCTTCACTCGATCTATATATACGACTGCTATTCAAAGTCTGCCGTGGAAGCGATAACTTTTTTCCTATGAAACATCTATCGTCCTTATACCTGCTCCTTATTTTTTGTGTTTGTTACACATTATAACATCTCTGATCTCTGGCACGTAAATAACCTTATTGTGTTGAAAATGCCGTACAAGTTTATTAAAACAAAATCTCCTTCATTTTTGTGTTTGCTACTCGCTTGTAACAGTTATCTTCGGTACTTACATGACTTCTTTATTGTATTGCAAGCACCGTAATACTCTTAATAAATCTAAACTAAACAAAGACATGAGTGACCCCCAGCTTGCCTTCGTCCAGGTGACAGACCGGGCCAACGAGGCGCGGGACAACGCAAAGTATTTGTACACGCTGGAGAAATACTGTGAGCCGCTCTACCGCTGCCAGCCTGTGAGTAGGGTTTGCCTGTCACTCTCTCTCTCTCTCTCTCTCTCTCTCTCTCTCTCTCTCTCTCTCTCTCTCTCTCTCTCTCTCTCTGTCTAACCTCACTGTATTTCTGTCTGTCTCTCTTTCTTTCTCGTTGTGTTTGATATTTTTCATTCTTTCTTTCTTCCCTTTTTCATAACCCATATCTTGACACCCCCCTTTCTCTGTCTGTCTGTCTGTCTGTCTGTCTGTCTGTCTGTCTGTCTGTCTGTCTGTCTGTCTCCCTCCCCCATCCCCCCCCCCTCTCTCTCTCTCTCTCCCCTCCTCCTCCTTCTCCTCCTCTCCCCCCTCTCTCATGTACACCGTTTCCCCTTGTCCCCCCTCAGCTGAGGGGATGTATTCATGTTGTCACAAATCACTAAAGACATAACTACCAGGTGGTTGAACACCAGAACTCAATTTGTTTAAACAATAGCTTTTTATAGATTCTCTTTTGCCATAATCAGGATGCATCCAGTATTTAACTTACTATCGACAAAAAAGAACTACCGGATTAGGTCAAGCCTGCAATACGTGAGCCATTGTGTTGTTATGTTTCCTTCAAGTGGCCCTGGTAGATAGGCTTGCTGTGTTGTAATGATTTTTACTCACGTGGCCGTGGTATCTTAGTATACTGTGTTATTTTCTTCACTCAGCTGGCCATGGTTGGGAAGCTGACTGGTCTCATCGGCTCTATACGGCTCATCTACAACTACTCCCACTACTATAACTCCACTTCTAAGGTCTCCAGCATTTTTGTAAAGGTGAGGAAGATTTTAACCTATCATTTTTGTTAAGGTGGGAAAAATTGAATTGTTGCAAAGATGAGGAAGAAATAGTTTTCCATTGATCACAACTTACTGAGAAGTGCACTGGAAAAAAAATGTGCGCAGTGACATTATTAAAAATTGTAAGGGCTTCAATTAAATAACGTTTGTGTCTGTAACTCGTGGCCTGGAGGCCAATTAAGGCCCAAAGGACGATATTTTGCGATCCCCTCTCTATTTGACATAACAATTTTGTATCAGTGCAGGCCTCCTATGCTGCTAGTTCTCTGGCAGCAAGGAGTAGGTAAAAGAAACCTATATTCTGAAGATGCTGTGAACAGCTAATAATAATGGTTGAATAGATTAGAACAATTGTACTACAAATACTTACACGCTACCTATTTTTCCATTTACATTGCATTTATTACTCGTTGGATTCTTTTTAAAATGTGGCCACCGGCATAAACGTGGTTTGATGGTTAGGTTTTAGACTATTGCACGCAGAAAGCCAGAGTTTTATTCCAGAAAGGGGAAGTTCGAGTATCGAGTATCTCTGTCTGTGTGATGGGATGTTGTGTCTCTCTTAGCCAGGGTCGATTCTGACAGGCAGAGTAGAAAGAACCTCCCTTCTTAATGATCGAAATGAAGTCGACAGGGGGTAAAACTTCTGCAATAATTGACAAAAAATCAAACTGACCATTATCAAGCCGATATCACAACACATGAACAGTATTGTCAAACGCAGATCGATCCAGTTAGTGGAGAGGTTTTGTGGTTGGTTGGCGGGTGCTGTGGTGTGGTTTGCTTCTTCTTTCCTATCAAACACCTATCGTCTTATATCCCATCTTTTTGTACTTGTTACCCTCTTGTAACACATCTAACCTTCGACATTTATGAGACCTAAGTGTGCTGCAAGTGCCGTAAAACTCTAACTAAAACATAAAAAGGTGATGTTTCCCCACAGATCACCAACCAGATAGTGACCAGCTGTAAGGCCTACCTGTCTGACCACGGAGAGACCAACCTGTGGGACCTGCCCCGCCCAGAGTTACACGGTCGACTTCAGGACTGCATCAAGTCTGTGGTTAATCCACTCTTTGCTCCACACAATTATTATTTTTTTACAAACATTTCCTTACTGGTTTCTCTGCCGATTTCACTACTGATTTTTCAGAAAACAGATTTCTTTACTGACTTCTTTGATAAGTTTTGTTGTTACAAATTTCTGCACTGATTTCCTTGCTGATATTTTTGCATTTCCTTTATTGTTTACTTTTTTGATCTATTTCAAAATAAATTTCTCTTCATATTTCTCTACCGATTTCCCAAAATTACCGGCGGTAAAGTAACATTTACAAAATGAACCTTGGATACTATATTTATAGGGAATAACATATTTGTGAGGGGAGGAATCGTAGCAAAGTAGGTGTAAAAGAACTTCCAGTGATGAACAATACAAGCAAAACACTCTCTTTATTTGCAGAGTTGGTGGCGAAATCTATATTTTGACCCCGTCCTTTTCAAAGATTAGATATTATAATTTTAGCTTTGAGATTTTCTTTACCTTAGTCTAGCATGCCCAATTCCTCCCCAGGCTTTTCCAAGCATACATCAGCATTTACAACATCACTAAGAAGAAGATCGACAATAGTAAAAACGAGCGTCCTTTCAAATTCTCCGCCATGTACATCTTTGGCAAGATCTACACCTTCCGTGCTCGAATTGAAAAGGTATGTGAACAGGGGGAATTTCTTTCTGACAATCTGATGTCCTCGACTAGGATGTATCTTTGTTGGACTGGTTGGGTGCGTACATGGATTGTTGGAGTAAGATCAGATCGAGAATAATGAAAAAAACCCCGGCACAGCTCTCTTTTTTTTAACCAGACCAGCTTGTAGATTAGCAAGACCTACGACGCTTGACGCCCGCTATAAAGTAGAATATAACCCAGTTCAACTCATCCACTGATGGACTTCCATTTTTTCTTCTCCGTTGTCCTGATATTTCAGTACCATGGCGTCTGTGCTCTGTAGGACTGCCAGATTTTATTGATTTTATTTTATAATTTAAAAAAGAAATTATTATTTTTTTTTTGGGGGGGGGGGGGGGGGGGGAGAGGGGTAGCCATTTTTTTCGGTTTAAAGAGATTGTAAAAATGGGATCGTTTTATTTCAGTTGACTGCTGTTTGCGGATTATCTGTGATTTGTTTAAGAGGACTCTTCAGGATTTTTCTTTTTTTTCTCTTTTCAGCACTAATCAAACATTCATTTTTTACTCTGTTTCTGATCTCGTTTAAACAAAAACTTTAGTTGTTTCACCAGATCATGTGTCGGATGGAATACTGTCACACGTTTGTTGCTTTGGCAGATTCTGTGTCTAATGGACTACTGTCAGATGTTTGCTCCACTGGAGTCCAGCACCATCGAGGGAATAGACACACACTGTGCCAGGTTCAATTCCCTCTTCAACAACCTCCGTAAGAAGGGTTATGACCTCCTCAACTACCGCAACCAGGCGTTTGACGACGACTTCGACAAGTTTCTGGAACTAGTGGAAGAGCTCAAGGTAAACTGTAGAGTTGGAAGTCCAGAGTACAGCGACTGCATTGTCGCTTATGTTCAAAACGAAAAGGAAACTCGTCCGGGAAAAAGACGACCGCACCAGACGAATACCTCGATTTTATACTGTTGATTGTGGTATTCAAATACGATGTTTAAGTATTATTTTTGCAGCTTACAGATAAAGTTGGAATGATGAATAAAAATAAAGTCTCCAAAGGCTTGGTACAGCGCTGGCAGCATTTGAAAACAAGTTCCCCTTACACTTTTCCAAACAAGACATCCAACAAATTCTTTTCCCCGACCTCCCTCCGTGGCACCTCACCAAGGCAAAAGTAGATTTACAGCTGACCACACACAACAAAGAAAGCACAAACACCAAAACTTTTCAAGCAGAATACAAAAAACTAATAGATAAATACCCCGGTGCGGAGCTCATCTTCACGGATGGCTCCAAAAAAGACAATGAAGTGGGCGCCGCAGCCCTATCTCCCAACAATACACACCAGAGGAGACTCCATCCTGAAGCCTCCATTTTCACTGCGGAGGCCACTGCCATTGACATGGCACTGGACTCTGTAGAAAATTCCCCTAACAAATCTTTCCTTATCCTTTCTGACTCTCTGTCTTGCATCACCTCACTCACAAACTACACACTCCTACACCCAAAAATAGTTAGGCTACAACAGAAAATCCATACACTATCCGAAACAGGAAAAAACATCATGTTCGCATGGATACCCAGCCATGTGGGCATCCGAGGAAACGAGCAGGTAGACGACCTGGCGAAGAAAGCTTCATCCCTTCTGCTGGGATCAACGACAAACACTCTGCCACAGACTGACTTTAGAAATAAAGTCAAAAAGTACACCTCCAGTCTTTGGGAGAGCCACTGGGAAAACCAGAAAAATAATAAATTATATGAAATTAAACCCAGACTAGAACAGCGAAATCCTTCGGATCTCTCCAGAAGAGACGAAGTCATTTTTACTCGATTGCGCATCGGACACACGGCCCTGACCCACAAATACCTCCTACAGGGAGAAGAGAAGCCGTTCTGTGTCGGATGCGACACAGATTTTACCATTAGACACATTTTAACAGAATGTCTAGACTTTGGAGAGATCCGAAGGAAATATTATAAATGCAAGAAATTGCAGGATATTTTCTCCGTCGTTGTTCCCAGCAGAATTTTAAATTTTATAAAGGCCATTGGCCTTTATGGCGAGTTGTAAAGTGAATCTGATATTATTTAAATTTTTTATTGTTACTTAAAAGTTGTTTTAGATCACAAATGTATTTACACCGAATTTGAATATTTTAACTTTTTAGCATTTTAAAATAAATTAGTTACCAGTCGTGAAGTGAACTTTCGCAGAGGTGAACAACTTGTGTTTCGCGCGCTCATATGACCTTAGCAGTTGCGAGCGCCGTAAAACCTTATACTACTACTACTACTAAAATGTTTATTTTATTTGCTCTCTCTAATTAAAGGCAGTGTACAGGTTATATCTCTCTTTATTCTTTCCTTTGATACATCGATGAGGTCTCCTGGTACTTTTATTTACTACGATCCTCATCTTTACTTTGGTCAATTTTTGCTCTAGGAATTTCGTGGTGGAGGCAAGTAGACAGTTTTGTGTGTGTAGGAATTAATGTTTAGGATTACCCCAACCCCCCCAGCTAATACCCAATTTCAGGGTGATTTAATAGAATTATTAAAGATTGAGATGAAATGAAGCCTACCTCGTCTAGATATATTCAACACCTTAAGCGATTACACCATGTTTACCTGTAGAAATATGATAATATACTTTAATACCAATCTCTTCCCCGTGGTCCATATTCGCTCTTCGCTGGTAATGGTGATGTCATTATGTAGAGTACAGAGCCTGGCAGTGTGGAGTAGAAAGGATCAAAGTTTTAACGTATATTTTGTTTTGGACAGGTCAATCTGCAAAACTTCATGCAGACAACTTTGGGAAAACTAAAGCACAGTCTGGATAAAATAGCCATGATGAAAAGGTGAACCGTTTTAGAGTAATTGCAATTGTTTTTCATTTTATTCTTTGACGAATAGTGTATCTCTTGGCTTTACGACAAGGGATTCTTTATTTGCATGGGGAATAACAAACAATTCCGCCTTTTGAGTGCTAGACGCAGATTTCCTGCCTCGTCAGTATGACGCAGTTTTTCTCAATACTAAAAGCAATGTTTTCGTCAGCGGACATACCATGGGGCAGTGATTGGATGCGAAACGTCAACATTTACGTGTTGTTCATATTTACTATAAAACAGCTGGCTTGTTCTATAGGGCAATCATTGTTGTAGGCAAAATATAGTTCTTATCTTCACCACAAAAATTAAAATCTGTCCTTAAAAAAAATTTCCCCATCCTTCCAGTGGTCCCCTTTAACTACCTTTAATTTTCCCTTTTCTCATTCTGTCTGTCATCCTGTAGTTTTTCTCCAAGTGGAGAAGAAATTGCTGATAGCCTGCTCTGATATTCAAACAATCAAAGAAGCACACAAACAAACAGACTGGTCAGAACGTGTAGAAAGGACTCGACTTTGTTTATTGAATAAGAAACTTTCTCTTTGGGACTCAGCGTTTGTGTATTTCTATCGTAAACAAGGGGGAAGTATGAAATGACTTATAAGGATTTGAAAACATTTCCTGTCCATTGTCCCTTTCACACAGGTTTGACAAACTCAAGCTTCCTTTCCTGGACATAGAAGGTGGCTACGCCAGCATCATCGCCTTATATATGCAGGAGTTGGACTCCATGCAGCTGGTAAACTACCAAATTACAATGTCAACGGGTCGTGTCTGTTGGTGGCCGTTTTACAGTGACTTTCTTTCTTTCTTTTTCTTAAAGTCCTTAGTTGATCGTCCATCTTCTACATTTCTCTTTATCTTCCACGGAACAGATTTCTGCTTTTTCTGCTTTTTCGAAGTATTAAATTGCCTCTTTTTTTTCAATGTGATATAGGCTACATTAAATTGCCATTTTTTTCAGTTTGACTAAAACTAAATGACTGAAAGTGTGGGTAGTTGGAGGGCGACACTGATGTGTCCATTTTCCTTTTACCCCTCTGTTGATTCTGTTTATCTTGCTTTTTTCTCATGCTTTTAATAACCACTATGAAGTCGATTTAGTTTTCTATGCTCGAACTATACTCACCTCACTCTAACTACATCAGATGTACGAGCGAGACAAAGAGGATCCACCGACCGCCTGGAACCTGCCCCCTGTGGCGGGAAAGATCTACTGGGTCAGGCACATGTTGACCCACATCGCAGAGTCCGTTTTTCTCTTACAAGTGAGTGAATGGCCACAACTGCATAGGCCAGTTTATAGCTTTTATCATTATAGATTTTGGAATCCTCTAGCACAGTTGTTTCATAAACTTAGCCAAAGCATAGAGAATTGTCTTCCAATACAGACAGCGTGTAGCACAGCTTATTCCGAAAGTTGACCAGTACATAGAAAATTGGTTTTCAATACAATATGGGTAAGGGTTTTTGTAACCTGTTTCCTCTACTCTGACTAGTGACATGAGGTGGAACTAAACGTTTGCTTATCCCACAGAGCATCCGACCGTCCATCATGAAGACCGGGGAGGGCAAGAAAGCCATATACAAATACAACCGGTTCGCCTACGTGCTGGTGAAAGCTGAGGTCCTGTACCACATCGCATGGTTCAAGTCTGTGGACATGGCCAACCAATGTATGTTAGAACACTGCTCACTACTCATAGGGTTGTACCACAGGTCACTTTTGTATTTGTGCATTGAATAATAAATTTACATGTTTATATGAAAATCGACATATCTAAATAAACTCAGGGAAGGTGGTGGCTATTTGAATTGTATGTTGCAGGTGTTGACCATTGATTCTCTCCAGACAAGCTCGAAAACACCACCAGAAATCCGGATTCACCATGGGGCACGTTTCTGTGCTGATTATTTGGATATCGTGTTCAACAATGAGTTTAGGCAGCTGCAAACGCAGCTGCAAAAAC